GGGGGGGGACCGGGGGCGTCGCGCGAGGAGGAGGAGGAGGAGGAGGGGGCGGGGGTGGGGCGCGCAGACCGTTCCTCGAGGAGACTGGAGGAGATTGTGAAAGGTCATCTTGTCCTTCCCCCAGCCTCCAAGCAGGGGCTGCCCCTCCCACCCTAGACCCGGACATACCAGGGAAGGAGTTGGCTCTGCCGCTGCTTCTGCCCCAACATGCACAGGCTCGGGAAGTTCTTCCTGGGGTTTTATCTCAAAGCCTCTCCCTTACAATTTGTCTCTCTTTTGGGAGAGGAGGAGGGGCGATTATAGAGATAGTTAATGTCTGCCGTACAAGAAACATTATTAAAGTTACTCTTCCGCCTTTGCCGTTCTTGATAAACACTTCTCGCTCCTGCTTCACGAATTCTATTTTCCGTTCTTTAAGACACTTTAATGGCTCTTCAATGCAACAATATTTACTGAGTGCTTACCAGGCACCCGGCGCTGTGCTCAACACTGGGGGAGATGCAGAGAGGAGGGGGATGTGATACTTTCTCTCGACGCGATTATAGCCCAAACAGTGGCTGCACACTCCTAAGTGGCATACTCAGATTTAGTCAATATTTACTCGATGAGTGTTCACGTATTTAGCAGCATGAGATCTTTCCAGTAATCCTCTAAATATAAGCTCCCATTTACAGGTAAGAAAAAGATGCTCGAGGTCTCTCCTTCCACTGACCTGCAGATTCAGGGATCCTCATCGCCAAGGCCTTCATCTCAACCTTGCCATTAAATAAAGTCAGCTCTCTTGGGAGACTGAAAAGAGAGGAACCAGGCACAAACAGGCGTCTGGTTCCCTTTAAACTGCGATTCCCGGTGCCCAGGAAATCAGCGTGGATCAGTGCTCCAGTGATGTTGGCTCAGCAGTGAGTAGGGCAGAAGTGCCTCATGAGGAAAGCCACTTTCCTCCCCTTTCTCCTGGGCCTCAACTCCTAGGGATCTTCTGACTCGGTTTCTTTTACGTTCAGTGATTACAAATAACAACAGCCACCTTTTTATGTGGCACGTGCTGGGCTAAACTAATGCATTCGCGTTTTTCTCTTAATGCTCAAGGTAACCCCACGAGATTGGCCTTATTAATTTCTCTCTACAGATAAGGAAACAGATTAAGCAACTTGACTGAGGTCAACCAGAAAGATCAGGGACACAGCACAGGTAGTCTCATCTCCAGACCTCAGGCTCTGTAACTGATCGGTACAGTATACATTCAGGCCTGCTGGTTCTTAGTGTGGAAATAAAATGTCCTCACCTTAGTTCCTGAGTAAGCCCTATAGACTATGGACAGTGGGCACAGCTGTATGACCTCCACACCATTAATGGTGCTCTACTCACCCTGGAATCAGCTACCCTTCTGTTGCTAATTCTGCTTTGTCAGGGAGCAAACTGGAGTTCAAACAGGTAAAATAATGTCACAATAATGCAGCCAAGGTCACCAGCCTGGGAAAGTGGCAGGACTGAGATTCTAGCCCAGGCTACAGGAACCCTTTTTTGCTCAGAAACATTGCTGGTATAGTATCCTTTTCAAGATTTGGGCACCTACATGTTCTTCACTGAGTCAGAAACTATCTGGACTATGTACAGGGCTCTCCCTCCATTTAATCAATTAGTCAGTGTCCAATTCAGAAAAAAAAAAAAAAAAAAGCCTTCAAGAAAGAAAGGAGCAAGGGCTGGAGATTTAGCTTGGTGGTAGAGTGCTTGCCTAGCATTTACAACGCCCTGGGATGGATCCCCAGTGCCACCCATCAAAAAAAGAGGTTAAGGGGAGGAAGGAGAAGCTGACCAGAAAAGCCAGGGGAATGCGAACCGGACTGGAAACAGAGTTCCAGGAGAAGCAATCCAGACTGTAACATAGAATCTCACTAGGGCAGAACAGGTAATTTGAGGAGGGAGCCACAGAACAAAGACTGGCTGGAAATAAGGGGAGATTGAGGTCTAGGGTGAGTGTGTACATAGGGATGAAGTAAGTGAACTCCAAAGAAGATGGGGGAGAAACGAGGCAACAGGAAGTGGGAAGACTGAGGCGGGCCTGGGTGGCTTGTGGGGCGATTTGAGGCTGATGTCTACGTAAGGCCACTCCCTGGGTCCTGAGGACCTCATGGTGATCTTTGCCCCACCACACCTCAGCTCTGACAGACTATGTGCCAGGAAAATCTTGTCGTCTGCACTGAGCCGCCAGCTGGGTTCCAATCCTCTGGAGCGGCTGCCTCAGACTAGGTAGGCGTAAAGTTCTGGGCCTCAACTCTGAATTGGGAGTGGGCAGAGGGGTAAACGAAAGAGACATTGTGTGTTCCCATAACGGTCCCCAAATGAGTTTTTCCAATCCAGGAAGCACCACTCTGAGAGTCAAGGGAACCATGGACCCTACCGCGGATCTGCCGAGGCAGGAGAGACCCGGCCTTCGTCTGGAAAAGCTACAGCACTGGGCGAGACGGAGGCAAAGTGGACACCTACTGGTGGTGGCGGTGAGACCAGGCTGCCCTCTTTCAGGTTTTGCTTAACTATACCCAGAGTTCAAGTCCATCCATATTCGGTGCTAGAAACTGTGCTAGTCTGGGAGGGTGGCGGTAGGGGGGCAATGACCCTTCATTTCCAAGTAGCTTGCCTTCACCATTGGAAAAAAACATAAAGGTAAGTAAACCATAAAATGAGGCAGAAGAAAAAAATAGCATAGCCAGGCAGGCACACCTTTAATCCCAGCACTCGGGAGGCAGAGGCAGGAGGATCTCTGTGAGTTCGAGGCCAGCCTGGGCTACCAAGTGAGTTCCAGGAAAGGCACAAAAACTACTTAGAGAAACCTTGTCTCGAAAAAACAAAAAAAATAAAATTAAATAAAATAATGTGTTACATTTGTTTTTGTTTTTTTTTTTTTAAAAAAAAAGCACCTAATTTTTAAACTTCACTTTTTCAACTTTCCCTCTACCGTGCATTTATCCCAATTACTGATATCTACAGGATGAACCCGTGGTGAGGAGGAAAGAGCCTCTCCTGACAGCCCCCCTCTAATTACCCAACTCTGGCCCCCAGGTGAGCCAGTTATGGCTGGCAGTAGCCATGGTGCCCTTCACAGTCTCGGTGGCATGCCTGAACTCTGCCTGTCACATGGCCACAGCACTACCACTCTGGCCTGGAGCCTCGGTAAGACCCACCACAAGGGTGAAAGGAGGATCGGGGGGACCCCTCCCTAACAAGACTCGACTTCACAAACTGCCCTTCTCACCATTCAGGGTCTCCTCACTGGGATTATCACCCTGGAGCTTCGAAGAGAGCCTTGCATCTGGAAGGTGAGGAGAGAATACGGGCCTGTCCGCCCCCCCACTTCCCGGGGTACACACACACACACACACACACACACACACACACACACACACACACACCTCAACCCAAAGAGTGACTGGTCCTCTCAGCTGCTTGTCCCTGACCAAAGCAATAAAGGGAACATGTTAGAGGGCCAATGGTCCTATTAGAGGGGAGGGAAATAGTGAGATTTTGTTAGGTTTTATTTTCCTTTCAGCCAGTGTGCGTGCGTGCGTGCGTGCGTGCGTGCGTGCGTGCGTGCGTGTTTTGCTGGAGATTGAACCCAGAGCCACATGCACAATAAACAGACACTACCCCTGAGCTACAGCCCCAGCTTCCCTGCTCCTGCCCCCCGCCCCCAATAAGTTTACTCAGGATGGTCTTGAACCTATTCTGGAGTCCAGTCAGTCAGGCCTTGAACTTCTGATCCTCCTGCCTCAGCCTCCCAGGTGTCAGGGATTACAGGCCTACACCAGCAGCCCTGCCTCTGAGTTTTGTTTTCAGCTAGGTTGTAGGTGGAGTTTGAGCCTGGAATGAGTCCCCTGGGCTGGGCAGGGCTGAGTTGGCTCACTGGTAGGTGCGGGCCATGATGATATCCAACCTCTTCAACCTGATCTTGGGCTTCATCGTGGTGGTGATGGAGCTGATGAAGACAGCCTTGGGGCCTGCCTCTACTGCCCCCTCCCAGGTACTGGTGGATGAGGACAAAGGTACAAGGGAGGAGAAAGGGCAGAAGAAAATAGGGGCTGTACCCCCCCCCCAAAGCATCTTCACCCTGCTTCCTGCAGTTGACAGGGTTGCTGGTGCTGGAGCTCAGCGCGGAGGCCTTCACCCTAGGAGGAGTGCTGGTCTCAACGTACGCCCTATTCCTGCTGAGCCAGAGGAAGCCAGGATGCTTCACGAGGTCAAGTCTGCACTACCAGGAGTTACAGGAGGTAGGGAGGATGCAGGGAGGAAAACATGAAGCAGCGAGCTTCCAGCTAATTCTTCTTCTGGCTGTCCTAGTCAGTGCCACATAAGGGCAAATAGTGGGGCAGTAGAGAGATGAACAGTAGAAACTGACTGGCTTCCTGGCATTGGACGTTAGCCACCCACTCCCCCATGATGGTTGTGAAGGAATTGGGTATTAATGATTGGGACCACACGAGTGCGCAAACACTAGTAAGCTGCCTTGATATATTATTGCAAAGAATCGGAAAAAAAAAAAAAAAATGGGAGGTTTTTGCTTCTACCTGGGGCTTCTCCTAAAATTTGCTCCCATCTGTTTTCAGGGTCTCTCTGAGTTGGAGGAGGTTTCTGGTTTGGAGAATGGTCCCGTGGTGGCTAGCACAGGAAACAGAACAGATGAGTGAGTGGGCAAGACAGGTGCCAGTGCCCTCCTGCACCAGGGGGGGGGGGCATTCTCCAGGCGCTTTGGCGGTGTGCCCTTCCCCCGGACTCTAAACTGAACTCCCCCAAAGATGTGCATGAAGCCCGGGGGAGCGCCTTCAGCTTCCTTTCCAACCAGGCCCCATTATCTCTTCTCTTCCCCGCTAGAGGAAGATAAAGTCTGGACTAGTGACCTCCCTCACCTCGCTCCTGGTCAAGCTGCTTCCTCCCTTGCATTCTTCGCCTTCTCCCTCCCTGCCTCTCCATCGAGCTTCACATCTGCCTCATCTCCCTGTTTGCGTCTGTTCACCTTGCACAATCCCATCCACTCCGAGCCCGGCGGGCTGCTGCAACCCGCCAGCCAGCCAACCCAGCCAGAAATCCGCGTCCGTCCGTTGTGCGCCAGGTCTCCCTTGGATCCGGGTCCTGCCTAGTTTCCTGGAGACTACAAATCCCAGGATGCCCCGCTACCCCGTGACCTACTGGAAAATAAAGAGCCTTCCCTCGGCGGCGGGGGCGCTGTGCATCTGCTGAGTGACGCGAGGCGCTGGGAGCCGGGCCTAGCCGAGTTTCCTCGGACGCGACCACTGGCCCCGCGTGCCGGGAGGCGCCGGGCGGGCCGTCGCGCGCGGAGGGT